ATCAGTATAAAGATCTAAATATCCCGCTATGTAACTTAGGCCTTTCGTTCGGTGTTGAAGGTACTACTGTAATCTTGGACAGATTTTATGCCCGCTGTGCTGATGATTAGTGTTAGACTTTCATTTGTAACCTATGTTAAAAAGTTACTCGTGTGTATATCATTCACGGACTTGCCAGGTCTCTATTCTTATTTTTTAGCGCATTTTTGACCAGTGGCAAGGTTGCCCTCTTTGACCAGGCGTAGCTTTGGCCGGTTACGTTATAACCATAACTATCGAGTAATGTATGCGTTATGCATCATAACCCTCTCTCTCGGGTGGAGTTAGCTGGTTACGAACTAGTATTACAATTATCATCAGCCGGTAAGTGTTCGTAAGTTGAATTTAGCATGCAATGAACTGGGCAGGTCCCAGTCTGGAGCTTAACTGGCGATCTGACAATAATTTTCGATTTGCTCTCTGCTGCCTCGGAACATCTGCCCCGGTGTAGTTGTTGGTTAAGTTGTTCATCCACTCGTGTCCTGAGAATCTTTGTAGCGGCCCATAGCAGCAATCGAAGTGACTGTTCTGGGAATATCATTCGTTTATTGTTCTTTACTGATAATCTGTCGATGTTTCTTTTTGCACGAATCTTCGTTCATGTCGCATGAACAAAGTTTGTTCGTTTTCATAAATCGCTATAGTATTATTGTCGATAACATTAATCAAGATTGTTTATTTGAGGCTGATGCTAGTTGGTAAGTTATGAGTTATTTATTGACTTTAAAATTAGATCGCTATAGTGAAATGCATTAAAAATATTATTGGGTAATTCACAATTTTACCTGTTGCATTTTGCAACAATGCCTGTAAAGATCATTGATCCATTGATATTAATCTTCTAGCATAGCATAGCAAGGCATAACAAGGCTGCCCAAAATGTTCAAACATGATCTCCTTATGGCGGGTAAAGCCTTTTTGCTGTAAAAGCGCCTTAAGTTGCAACTTAAGCTGAACTTTTTAAAGCGCCTTAAGCTGCAGTTCAGGCTATTTCTTTGGTTGAAGATGACGCGAGGGAGCGAGGCATATCAAAAACAGAAATTGGATGGGACTAAAGCAAGACAGTTAAAGGCACAACGAAATACTAGGAATATTTAATAAGAACATTGGCACTAATACGGTGCGCGTGGGTGGAAAGAGTTTTGAGTATTGATGATATTCTACGAGAAGGAATAATGAATAACTAGCAACAGAATAGAGATCACCTGCGTGGGCGGGAGGTCTAGTGGAGCAGTTCGTCCCGACCTGCGACGTCGCTCGGGCGTCGTAGGGAGGAGGGCTAGTTGACAATAGGCAGACCAGGGTCTGTACGCGGCATGACAAAAAATGAACTGTTAAAGATGATCATGTTAGAGAACATAAGGAACAGCCTACAAATTGCCATAAATGAGGTGCCCAAAAATCTAGTCAGTTGCAGCTAGTAAGTTAAGGATTTCTTTTGGTTCTATAAACTTTTATGTCAAAGTGTGCAAGATTGAAATGCGATTTCTCCTGCTCGTAAGCATACAATTAACAATATGAGGTTAATGTATAAATCAATTGTTCAGGTTTTTTTAAATTAAGTATAAGTATGCCTTCTGACGCGATGGATGGATGCACTTTCCTTCAATGTTATCGCTCCGCTGCATGCGAGTTTCATCATCTGCCACTGTTAGCTTATATAACATAAAATATTATTTGTTGTACATATTATTTATCATGGAAGCTTCACTTTTGAACTCTATTTATTTTAAGGTATGAATATTTGTCGTATAATTTTTGTTATTGTCACTTTCATGATCAATTGCGTTTACATGTCGAAGCTGTTGCTCTCTTGTGTTATCTGTGATACGAGAGTTCGTTATTAGTTTTCCCTGATATGCAGCTCTAGTTACGATGGACAGGGAAGTCGATTGACTAAACTATAAGTTTGCCTACACTAATCAGTGCTAAATTGCGCTGCTAGTTATTCAGCAATTGCTGAATACGTGCCAAGCATCCAGGTAGTCTCGCTGGTCCACTACTGCCATTGGTGAATTGTGCTCAGACACGACGTTGTGTTGGTGTACTACCACGGAGAACGCGACCTTCCTTACGTGGCTGAGACGTGGTATTGTGCAAAGTGTCATCCTGTATGGTATGGATGATATTATAATTGAGTAATTACAGTGTCTTGTGACTGCGCAACATGGCATCAAAGTACACGGCAATATTATATGACTGTAGTATGTACTTGTTTCGTGTAATCAAGAGGATGCACGATTGCGTTGACGCTATGTCATTAGGTTTGCACCAATGATACCCAATGTGTTACAATTACGATTTATTTTCAAGCTTGTTGTCAGTTCTCTCAAGTCCAAATCTTTGCTTACAGAGAAGGAAGGAACAAGAGTAGATGTTTATCAATGTATAAGGTAAGAAAAAGACGAAATTCGTGAATGTCCAATTTATGGAAGCCCATTTATTTGTTTGAAAGATAAGTCAACTCCTCGCATCAACGCAACAAATGTCACCGTCAAAGGTAAAGGTCGCTAAGTTTTTACAATAGAACTTTTTTTTGGCTGAAAGAAGGAAAGAGCCACTCGACGTTCCAGTGTACAGCGAGGAGTTGTTTGTTGTGCTTGGGTCTCCGCTTGCCGTGCTCCCCCGTTCCAAATTACCATCTTCAGTAAAATTACTTCTTAGCAATTTACTACGATCGTTTGCAATACATACCTGCATGTCATTCTTAATTCTGTAATAATGACGAGTGGGATTAGTTATACTTGAACATGTTTCAGGACTGTGCCAAACTAGGAGCTATTCAGGACCATAGCTGAGCCTAGCGTTGTTCAGAGTCCGTGTGTAGCTAGTAGAATGTTGCGCCCGCTTCCCTCGGGATGTCAAGTTTTGAACTTTTTATCCATAGATCCCTGGTCGGCAATGCGGGAGCAAAAATTGACGGCCTAGTTCCTTCTAGACCTTGACTAAAACCTAAATTAAAAAGTGTAAGATAGAAGTAATATTCTAACACGATTTATAATTTTGACATAGCCTGGAAGATCCTCTGTGTATATTCACCCCCACTATGTTTCAAACAAGCTCTCACTAATACATATAATAGGTTAAAATGATAACATTAGGCCGGTATGGGATACATTTCGCCTATCGCTGATTATCGTTTGTGATTGGGCATTGTTTGCGGCTTCGCACTCATTGTATTTTTGCTTCAAGTTACTGGAATTAATTCACAAGCCACTCACGGAAAATGGGGTTGCGACACAAGGGCTTAAGAACGTTGAAATTTAGATAGTTAGTCAATTTCGTCGCCGTTGAACAGCAGGCTTCGGACCACCGTCCTCCTAGGCGTCGCTAACTGCGGTCACGGACTTGACGAATAATGCGTCCCGTTTATGGTCTAGTAGGCGACTAGTGGCGCATCAAACCTGTTCAGATGGCATAGACAGATAAAGAGTTCTTCGCGGTTGCAGTAGCACATACTGTAGTATGGTATGGCGAGAATGACAATATATTGCGTACTACAGGCAATATGTGTAATAATGGTGAGAGCAAAGCAAGCAAACAAAATTATGTTGCCAACAGCACAGTCGGGGGAGTGATCACCTTGGCCGAGACAGGGCTCGTAAACGACTCGCTTTTCTTTTAACATATAATTTAAATTACATTTACTCATTTTTATCTCGCATATATAGGAGGACAGTCTTAATCCATGTGTATTAAAGTATTTATTTAATAAAACTTCTATAATTTATTGTTGTTTACATACCTTTCTGTTTTGCTTTCTGACAATGCACAGGAATGAAGAGATTCAACATCACATGAAGGTTTGCTAAAACGATCTAAATCGTCGAGTTTACTTCAACGAGAAAAAAAGGCATGAATACTTGTTCTAATAAAGATGGATGAGCTGAAAATGTTAATAAAAGTAATGTTTGTGATAATAAGAACAACGCTTAGTTGCAACAAAACATATTGTACTATTAAACTAAGAATAATTGTGAATACAATGTGCAGGTTCCATCCGACACAATCCATCACTTTCCCAGTGAATTAAACCCATGTCACCAAGTTTACAATATATTTTTTTTTCTTTAACACAACAAACTCAAACGATTTTCACATCTGCAAGAAACGCGCGAATGTTTGCCACATTGGAAGCCTTATTGTACTTTATGACCAACAAAAATATTGAAAACGATGTTACTCGTGTCTCCAATTGAAAAGTTAAAATATTAATAGAGAATTGTAGTCCTAACAAATTCGACGATTTTAAACAAGTCGTGGAAGAACACGGACAAGGATTTAAACTGCAGAATACAGGCGTCAACAGCTCCAGCTGCAAAATTCGAATTTTACATATAGAGCCTTGAGCTAAAATGCTAGACTTGGTGCAACATTCGAATCATGCGATACCTTTCTCGTCCCATTACTTAGGTCAAAATAATAGATCCATAGGCATGAGAAGCTTTGATTATGAATGCTGAGACAATACTCAGTTTCATCAGTGATCTTTCTTGCTCATGTTCAATCGATCGCAAGCTTCGAGCTTCAGCATAAGAAAGTTTCTGTCCTGCATAGATGGTTTCACCCAGACAAAAATTATTCGCAAAAAGCTGCCATTATAACCAATACTAGTTTACAAACTAAAGAACACATATATTTCCCTAAGGACAGCAATATACAGACCAATGTTTTATAAATAATAATGAGGCTTCTCGACTGTGACGCCGTACTTGGCCAGCACAGGGGGCTAGGTCGTCCATGGTGAATATAGAACATGTTTACTTCCCCTAAGGAACTTATTTCCCTAAGGGCAGCAATGTACAGACCAATGTTTTATAAATAATAATGAGGCTTCTTGACGGTGACGCCGTACTCAGCAAGCACGGGGGCTAGGTCGTCCATGGTGAGGGTGTAGCCTTTGTCTTTGCCGGCAACTTTACCAGCACCGGCCGCTCCACCGCCGGCGCTGCCTTGCTTGCCGCCGCCCTGCTGGTGGCTGCGCATCCGGCAGTGCTGCAGCGCGTCGTTCGCGATGTCCGAGATGAACTTCTGCGCCGCTAGAGAGATGAGACGCACTCTGCCAGGGGAGCGGGAGGTGTGAGGAATGAAGGTTATACTCGTGGAGGAGGTGAGTGTTGAGGGGGCCTATTTATGCGGGGAGTGAACAGAAATATGATGACAGCAGAGGAAGTATGGTGAGGTGCGGGTAGTAGTGAGTTGAGGAGTTAGTGGGAGTATGATGTGAGGTGTGAGTAGTACTGCTGTGACATGAGTTAGTGGGATCATAGTGGCGCATAGTGACGTGAGGTTGAGGTTATATTTTTGTGAAAAGTTAATTAGTGGTAGGTAGTATTTGCGATGGTTAATACATTGACTTAACATGTTCAGATGAGACAGGAATGACTTCGATTAGAGAAAGCTATGTTAGCTATATAACAGAACACAGATAAAAACATTAAACATTGTTTAAAGGCTAATTCTTGAAATTTATTTTCTTAGGCAAAAACTTAATTTGAAAATTTATTGTAAAATTGTAGAAGGTATAAAAAATTAATACACATTTTTGCTCTAGATACAGAATAGTAGGACACTGCAAAAAAATTGTAAGCAGGAGAAGCACTCACAGTCTGGCATCACTAGCTTCAAAGCCAGCAGTGTTGAGGTAGTAGGAGGTCACCGCATCAGGGATCTGGGAGACCAACAATGACTTCTCAATATGTTCTTTACACTAAGGTGATTGCATCTTAATTCTATTCTTTAAGACGAAAAATGAAACCTATTACCGAACATCCATTTCTAAGCTACTTAAACACATTGAACATTTGTCTGCACCATTATTTTTAATTCAACTGAAGCAGATGGATTGGGCATCCACTAACATATAGGTAGTATTTGAGAAACGCTATTTGCCATTACAATATGATCCAAAACTCATTGATATCAAAATTGGTTCTCAGATTTTGTGGGACAAAAACTAAATGAACAAATGAAAAAATGTCTAGAACTGACAAATTTACTTTATTCAGAAGGTACATGAAGCAGGGTTTTTGAATGGAGTTTCTTCACAGAACCTGGCTAACAAAAAATTTGAAAACAATTTTATAGGACCTTGCCATAAAATTATTAGGACCTTGATGCAAAGTCCCATCCTGGTTAGCTATTGTTTTTTATAAGTTGTTCAAACTCATTGAAAACTCTTCTTTTGACTAATGCATGTTACCTGAACAACATAATTTCTCTGCAGAGATCATTTAACTCTTGCTAATCATCCAATCATCAGGCTGCAAGCTTGTGCACTTGTGAATAGATTTCAGTCATCAGTCATTCGACGACTTATAATACAAAAGACTCACCGTTGGGTTGTAGTCCTCCAGCTGCATGAGAAGATCAGAGAGGGGAGCTGCAGAGCCACGTGTGCCTCGCGTTGCGAGGCACACGTGACTGGTATAATCAATCGTGGCACACGTGACTGGTATAATCAATCATCAGGCGAATGAATGATTGATTGATCATTTAAACAAGGGATAATTGTAATAAAATTGAGAAGGTTAAACCTGTATACAGGAAACATCGTAAAGTCATTTAAGAGTCTGACATGTTCCTGAGCACAATCCCAGATCGACCTCCCCTGCAACACTACCAGCGGCGAGAAGCAAGCAACAGCATCGTGCATCAGGTGGCCCAAATGAGGGCGGATGAACGATAATCAGAGGCGGCGATCCATCGTGGCCTGGGACTGCTACGTCCCAAACAAATACTGAGGATACTACTAAGGATAGTGGGATCATAGTGGCGCAGAGTGACGGAAGGTTGAGGTAATATTCTTGTGAAAAGTTAATTAGAGGTAGTATTTGTGATGGTAAATACATTGACTTAACATGTTCAGAAGGGACATGAATGACTTTGGTTAGACAAAGCTTTGATGGTTATAAATAAAAACATTAAACATTACTGTATGTAAAGGCTAATTTTTAAAAGTTATTTCTGTAGGTGGAAACTAAGTTGGAAACATTCATTGTAAAATTATAGAAGGTACAAAAAATGAACAAAAATTTGTGCTCTAGATATGGAACAGTAGTACACAGCAAAGAGATTGTAGACTAGGAGAGACACTCACAGTCTGGCATCACTAGCTTCGAAGCCAGCAGTGTTGAGGTAGTAGGAGGTCACTGCATCAGGGATCTGCAAGAACAATAATATAGATTCTAAATATATTTTTAGCGCATTTTCTCATTAATGGAAAAAGGCGCTACTGTGCTCGTCATGTCTGTCCGTCCGTCTGTTTGCAACTTCACGTTTTTGTCAATTTTGAGAAAATGCACTCTCTGTCACTCACAGCAGTGAGTACTGAGTTATGATTTTTTACACTAACGTGATTACATCCTAATTTTTTTGTTTATGGTGAAAAGAGAAACTTATTACTGAACATCCATTTTTTCTGCTACGTGAACACATTGAACATTCCTCTGAACTTTTATTCATAATTCAACAGAAGCAGAGTAATGTGTTGGGGGCATCCATTAACATATAGCATTTGTGAAGCACTGTTTGCCCTTGTAATGTGATCCGAAACTAGTGGCCATAAAATTGGCTTTCAGATTTTGTGGACAATAACTAAATGAACAAATTAAAAAATGCCAGAACTGATTTATTTATGATATCCAGAAGCTTATTGAAGCAGGGTTTTTGAATAGAGATTCTTCACAGAACCTGGCCAATACAAATTTGAGAACAATTTTATAAGACCTTGCCATGAAATTATTAGGGCCTTGATGCAAAGTCTTGTCCTCTAGGTATAATGATCTTTATTTATTTACATTGTACTTGAAGATCAATTTATGATCTCTAGGTAATAATGCATGCAAGACATGAGCTGGCAATAACTAGAAATAAATAATTCATTGCTAATTTCTATTTAAAAGCAGCATAATTGGATTTTATAACTCATTCAATATAATTGAAAACACTCTTCTTTTGACTATGTTACATGAACAGCATAATTTGTCTGCAGAGACCATTCAAATCTTACTAATCATCAGGCTCCATGTTTGTGCACTTGTAAATAGATTTCAGTTGCAGCACCAAGTCATTTGACGACTTATAATACTAAAGACTAACCGTTGGGTTATAGTCCTCCAGCTGCATGAGAAGATCAGAGAGGGGAGCTGCAGAGCCACGTGTGCCTTGGGCCATCTGTGAAGTTAAGTGATGCTCTTGACTCATACAATCTTAATTAGTCAAGCATACTGATTATAAACAAGAGGACAGTGTCAGCCAACGGCCCAACAACAACAACAACAGTTCAACAGACAAAAATTGTAATGTTGTCAAAACAAATCAACTCACTGAAGATGAAGTCAGGTTTCGAGTCATTAAATCATAAATGCCTAAAAAATATTAAAACCTAATGTTTCTGCATGGATTTCAATGCTTTAAAATTGAGAGACTTTGAAGTATCTCTCTTATTATACATAGTCCATAGAGTAAACGCGGTATATTCCAACATTGTGGGTAATTCCAACACCTCTTTAGTTTTTCCATTATATTAAGGGGAGTGTCTGGTCAAAATTTTTTAATTTTGGCTTTTCCGGTTTTTAATCTCGTCTTAAAGCTGACATTCTGCTCTATTCAACGGTACCAAAATCATTTCTGTAAGTTGATTTATGCATTCACGACAGATCACAAAAGGGTGGGGGGTGGTGGAGTTCTTTCACATTTAGGATAGGCGAAAATTCCTGGTAGCATACTTAAATAGCTAGTCCACATATGATGTGCTTCAGTTACCCGCCTGCAGTTGTACGGGAGGGTTTGCGTGTCGTCGTTCACACCATCCTTGACAGGAATTGAGCTCCAGTATTGCCTAGTCTTGCATTCTTGCCACCTTGAACGCTTATTTTGAGGCGCCTGGGACTTTGTCAGGCTCTACTAAACAATTAATTTATTGTTACTGCAAACCTATCTCCTCCTACAGTTTTGAAGCTACAGCAATGAGACATATACCATTCGATTCGCAATTGAATTATCTAGAGATTCGTTGCAGCTTTTTTCCAATTTTGTCATAGTTTTGAAAATATTTTGAAAAAGGGGTTAGAAAAAGGGGGAAATGGAAAAATTTTCGGAAATTTTGCGTAAAATACTCCCCCATCCACAAAAGTTTGAAATTCGAAAAAAGCTACGACGAATCGATAGATATGGTCTTTACGCATCGAATGATATGCGTCTCAATGTTGTTACTGTAGCTTCGAAATCCTAGGAGGAGATAGTTTTCTACGGTACCTCCTTTTTTACGTTTTCTAAGAATTTCACGTTTTCTTTCATTTTTTGAAAAATTCACACGAACAAAAAAGTCTTAAAATTCTGTTTTACTTATGAGTACCAAGTTTCAAAACGATCCGTCTGTAAACAAAAAAGTTTTTTCAGCACCCAGACGCTCCCCTTAAGCTTTGTCTTAGTTCCACGCATTCGTTGATGGTTGAAATAGTGACGTCATACCTTTGTGCGCCAAACTATTGCCAAAACACTAGGTTTGGGTGGAAATTGGGCCGTGTGGGTGCCCGTGGGGCTGTGAGCCCAGTGAGATCATCGAAATTGGGCCGTGGGCCCAGTGAGATCATCGAAAAATGTGTCAAAGTTGATAGTTGACCTTGCTCTACCAAATAGTGATAAACTGTGTAGAAAGAATATTATAGTTTGAGACTTTTAAATACGTCTGCGAATATATTAGAAATCCTTTAAGTATACTTGTATTTGCTGATTTCAAGTGGTACCGTAAAATGGGGTAACTTAGACTGGAGGGGTAACTTAGACCACTTTTCGTTTTTTTAACAAAAACCCCCACAACTCAAAAACTATTTGACAATTTTGTCAATGGGCATTAAAGGCCTAATACTGAGGCTACATAACACAATAGAAAGATTTAAAAAGTTGCATATCTAATAGGTTAAAAAATTAAAAATGTGACCCACAAAAAAAAAGCTATTATTTAAAGAATTAAAAGCCTAATTAAGTAGTGTTCAATATTCAATAGTGTTCTTATTCAAATCAAAGCCGTGTTGTATTCCAATACAGCTCAAACAGCGATAGGAATTCGAAAACAAGGATGTCGGAATGACGTATTAGTAGAGTTTGAAGCGCGGCCGGAATTTGTCTCACAACGTGCCGAATTTAGTCACACAGCGTCAGAATATAGGGATTTGGTAGGTTTGCATTCTAAAGACTTTTAAATAAATATGGCAACACTTTGTGACGTTTCATTGTTTCTGGCGCGTAGTGCAGTGTTTTGAGAGTCAAGTAAAGCAAACAGAACTTGAGTAACGCATACAGTTATTTTTTTATAGTTTTTCATTTCTTGATGCGTCCTTAATGTGTCAGAATATACCACGTTTACCCTACCTGTTAAAATTAATTTTATTTTGGTTATTTTTTATTTGGTTGAAAGAAGTTAATTGTTCATAGTATTGTCCTCGATTCTGCATGTAGCATTTCCTTTATTGATCTGTCCGCCATTTGATTGATCCCTAGTTTAAATGTAAAGTCACACTCACAGGCACAGCTTGCCGCAATGCCGCTTGGACATGAAGCAGCTAGCCTACCAGTTTTCTCTAAAGAATTGGTGTATTTTTGTGGTATTGTCTTTGCTTTCAAATACCTAACTGACTAAATGCAGTATAGACTTAAGACTACAGAGTAGGCCTACACTGAGACTGAGTTCAGAACTTCAGTTAGTTCCGTTAACTTCCCTACAAGTCAAGTCCACATTCCTATAAATTATATTATTATAATAATAAAAAACTACTTTTGTGATTTACATGCTTAAACGTGTTAATTTCAGCATTTATTCAAATTAAAGCTCACCTTAGAAACGCAGGCGATTGTAGACCAATGATGATAATTCGTTACTCGTTAGTGTTTTGTCAGAGACTCAGAGTGCGTCAGTGCGTCGTACCTCGAAAACCAATCATGAAAGACGAGAACACCAGCGGAGCCGCCGGAACGATACAAGGAACCTGAAGCCGAATTCACGGATAACGGACGAGAAATAAGCAGCTAAAATAAATTGTGAAAATCAAGAATTTGATTGATACTGCAACCTTAATTGATTCTCGATGCAATTTGCATATAAAAAGTGGGGTGAGCTTCGATTAAATCACGATTTTCAACCACCGTCCACTTTTTAAATTTTGACCAAATCTGATGCGGGTCTCACACTCCCAACTTGCTTCCAGGGTTTCCAGGAATTTAAAAGCAAAGACAGTAACCATAAAAATTCACTTTCAAAGGAGAAAACGTTTTCTCCTTTAAAGATATGATGAATTTTATGGTATTGTCTTTGCTTTTAAATTCCTGGTTAGCTTGCGTTTCAAGCAAACAAGTGATTTTAATACTTCTTGCTTGTATTTGGGGCGTGTTGACCCTGAAAGAGACTTACACGATATAGGCTATCTGTCACGCATCTCGTATTACTTTTTGTTAGCAGTAGAAGAAGAAGAAAACGAGGTCAGGTAGAGACGTAATTATTGCAAAGTTTAGAGGGGTGCGAATGTTAGTGTTATGAGTAAGATGAAAGTTACAGAGGAAAGAAGTTCAAGAAGAATGTTATTTGGCCTATTGACGCTATGTCCTACTTACTGCAGTTTAGTTTCAAGGTTCATATTAGATATTGATATCTCCCAGGTCCCAAATATTTATTTGTTCCCATTACATTATTATAGTTATTATTAGTTTTTATTATTACTTGTTTCTCTATGCCCCTCTGGCTTCCATTCTCAACAGCCCCATCTCCCTCTCCAGCTGCTACAATTTCAAGGATCTTAATCACTCTGCCATTGTGAGCGATAGATTGCACAAAAATTTGGAGAACTTAATCGTGCATCTGAATACAATTGTACTTCTGCTCATGAAACCGAGCTCATTCGTTTTGTCAACATTTCACAAAACAATGATATCATTAAATGAAATTTTTATTTCAAATGACTATATATAAAACTTTTTACTATTGTTTTATCAATTTTATATTGTAATATTCTAAATTCGTTTTGTCAATATTTCACAAAACAATGATATCATTAAATGAATTTTTTTTTATTTCAAATGACTAAATATATAAAAATTTTTACTATTGCTTTATCAATTTTATATTCTAATATTCTAGTTAACAATGAAGATTATCGCTGGAGAGCATCTCAATCGCAGCTATCTTATTCAGTGATAAAAATTATCGAGATAGCCTTTCTGATCAAGATCTTCATGGAATCTAGATCACTAATATGGTCAGTGATTATGCAATAGTGATGTGAATGTGCCACTAAAGTTTCCTCTAAAACGGTTTCTACCAAATATTTCTTCTGGAGTTTTTATATGAAAACGGTTGCAAAAAAAAAAAAATGCACTATTGAATTTCATTAAAAAATAATCTTTTATTCTCATCATGCACGCGCTACTACAGTTCTTCCAAGGTTTCAATATATGCGGATGAATTGTTTAAAAAATTATGTGTTTCAGTTTAGTATGATGTGACCGCATATTTTGGACTCCATCGTTACCGGGAACGTGACTTTACCAAGACCACAAACGTGTCGATTTGTTTACAAAACAAACACTTAAGGTTAGCCTGGTTCATTATAATTATTCGTACATGCACATGATGCATTCAACACTAAAAAGAAACAAAACATAACGGCATAAATGCCGTAAAGAAATACAACACGATCAGGCATGATTGTGAATTTTCTGCATGAAAATTCACCAAGCCACTCCTTCATTATTGTAAATTAGTACTATAGAGATTTATTTCAAGTAATTGTCTAAGATTGATTCAATTTATTTGATAAGAAAGAAGGTTTGTCAACTACTTTTTAAGTACATAAGAACATTACATCGTATTACATTCGTGTTGGCAGGGTGGCCCAGTGGTTACAGTTCAGAGTACCAGGATTGGCGCAGAGAGGCGCGGGTTCGATCCCAGCTCTGTGCGCCAGTTTCTGTTCAGAATCGGCAAGGAGGCCGGGCGGTTAAGCACAGCAGAATTGTAGCAGTGAGTTGCGAGTTCGAGACCGCAAAATGCTGTGATTGTTCTGCGATGTTAAGAATCGGCGACAGGCCTACGGCCTAATAACGCTGAAACCGCTATTATTATTATTATTATTATTATTACATTGACTAGTAACTGACGATGTTCATTTGCTTGCTGTATGTTTTTATATCACTCCAAAAGACATTTTGGTGATTTCGAAAAATTTCAAATGATTTTCAAAGGAATGTTGCTAAGCGCCAGTGTTAGAACGAACTTGATTGGCGTCACGTCGTATCTCTATACAGTGGTTGGTTATCAGGGGCCATACTTTCAAAATTCGCTAACTGATCGTAAGTACTTACGCACTATTTTCTTGTCTATGGTTGGTGGATTTTGCTTGAAAGGCCGTCAATGATTGGCTGATGAACTTACGATCTCTTAACTTTTTTTGAAAGTATGGGCCCAGGCGGTTAGTTATCATATCGTAGTTAGGGACGTGACAATTTTTTCAACAGGGGCAAATGCTTATAAACCCTCGTGATCAAAGCGTATTCAACATCTACTTCAAAATAATTATTAACGAATTGGGTAAATTAATTAATTAAAGAATTATTCAATTTAATTAATTGTATTTACTATTGAGGTTTATTAAACAATTAACTATTGAGGTTTATTAAATTTAATTAATTATTATTATTATAATTAATTAAATTATTTAAGTAAATGAATTAACCCAAGAAGCTTGGGTTAAAATTAAAAAGTGATAAACAGTTTTGGAGGCACGAGCTCCAACTACATGGATATTATACGGTCAATCTATAGGCTCTATATAGAGCTGTCCCGCAATGTTTTTTCCTTTCGTTATCAGGCCGGAAATTGAGTAGAATTGACAAATTAATAGTATTGTTTAAACATTAGAAGAGCGCGGCGGTGAATATTGACTAGCGAAGGAAATTCGTTAGTCAATTCTTTCCTTGCTGCATCTTGGCGGCTGATCTGTCCAAAAAAGGTTTCTTTGAAAGGTCTTCATGTATTTTCCATTACGAAGTCGCAATCAAAATTGTCCATCATCATAAAATCCTAATCATATCTGACTTTTTCTATTACTTTTTTCATTCTGATCAACTAACGCCGGTTTTGCGCCATTCCAATCAACGAAAGCCGAATGTGTGAAGAAAACCTAATGGTTCCCTCAAGTTTAAAAGTATGTCATATCTCATCTCCTTACGGATCTAATTTTCCCTAAAAGATTACACATCCAAAACAGCCTAAGCTAACGAGTTTTCTTAATGACTTTAATTGCTTCGAAATGAATGGGAATGAAAGCTAGTATCGTTCAGACAGATAATAATTTGAAATTCACTCAGGCTATTAGCATTGAAACTTTCTGCTAGCATGATTATCCTGTCAGTTACTATTTTTCTTGTGTAACGCACAAGAAAATGATTAAACGATAATAACAATACTAATTAAGAAAAGATATTAACGAACGATATTAAATAATATCGTCCATGGTTTGTTGGTGCAAGTTCCCTATTAAACAAATCCGGCATTTATACGTGAAGACAACCCGACCCTGCTAAGTCTTCTGCAACACACCTCGATCGTCCTTGTTTGGGACGGAAGAACGAGTCGAGATAGGCGCTGTCCGCGTTCTGTCTACGGAATCAACATCAACAACATGAAGGTGTTCACAATTCCCGTATTACTCGCGCTGATGTTTACGACGAGCGTTAACTCAGGTGAGTAACTGCGTTGAACCGTTAAATTTAGTTATAAAAATTTAAATTTATTCATAAAAATTTGCTACTTTATGCGCTCTCTGCTAATCACCTTCTATAATGGCAATATTTTAACAAAAATAAATGTTAGTGGTTTGTTGTTGTTGTCCGACCCTGCTAAGTCTTCTGCAACACACCTCGTCCTTGGATGGGACGGTTAAGAACGTGTCAAGATAGTTGCTGTCATCGTTCTGTCTACGGAATCAACATCAACAACATGAAGGTGTTCACAATTCCCGTATTACTCGCGTTGATGTTTACGACGAGCGTTGACTCAGGTGAGTAACTGCGTTGAACCGTTAATTTGAAATATAACAATTTGCTTTTTTATGCGCCTTCTTCTGCTAATCACCTTCTATAATGACAATATTTTAACAAAAATAAATGTTAGTGGTTTGTTGTTGTTATTGGCGAAAAATTTCGTGAAAGAAGGGAATTCCTTGTTCACCTTGAATATTTTAGCAGGGAAAAAGTTCCACGCTGCCCAGTTTATGCTGGTTGGGTTGCGAGCTTTACTGTTGCTACATAGCTTACAAAGAATTGAGTGAGTAAATACGATTTAATTGAACGCGTCCAAAAAGAAACGGACTGGTGGGCGGTAAATCAAGCCGACTCACTCTAGCAGTTTAACTATTCCTCAATTCTGGTAAATGAAAAAAATCTGGAAACAAAGAGTTATAGAAGTAGCTATTTATTGGTAGAAGACTTCAGTTGTAGAAGTATTCAACACTGAACAAACAGAGAAAGCAAAGACGAAAAAGCGCCTTCTCCTAATATCAAAATCAAGTAAACTATCATAAACATTGAACGAAGTATTTGACACTATAACCATGACCTGGGCGTATCACTTCACCCGAAGTCATAGAGAAGCAATATATTACGCTTGATACGCTAGCGCTGATATAGCGATGCAGGCGAGAGGCAGCTGATGCCTGGGGCCATACTTTCAAAACTCGCTAAATTAACTTAAGTACTTACGCACCATTTTCTTCTCCATGATTGGTGGATTTTGCTTGAAAGGCCGTCAATGATTGGCTGATGAACTTACGATCTCTTTATTTTTTTTTGAAAGTATGGCCCCAGGACAATGACTTCTGCTCATGTGAAGCGCAGCGTCAAGACCCGCGCACTTATCGTATGTATCGACTCCTGTTGATACGAGGTACAAGGAAAAGCTGTACAGCGAGTACTGCAT